CCCATATTTCAAAGTGAAGTAGGTCTCAATAGAAAAATAAACCACTGCATATTTCGTTTGGCTGAATGTCGATTCATTTTCGAGAAAATCGACAACAGCTGAATTCCGCCGCCAAAATGTGGCTTTTGAGGCTCAAAATTTCAGACGCATCTCGGAGCGTCACGTCACAAAATAAAAAAAAACCTGGATTGATAAAAGTGCCAAATCTTGAAAAACAACATCCAAACATATGTTGATTGCAATTTGACCAATTCTTGGCCATTTATTTACACAATCTATTTGAATTTATCCGACCTACTTCCAAATAGATTAAAAATAGGTCGAAAATAGCCCACGATTTAACTATGTGCTATACAAAATAATTTTGGAGGCGCGGTGGCCTCTTGGTGCGCTCGACTCTGGATCGAGTGCTCCGGGTTCGAGCCCCGCCCGGGACATTGTGTTGTGTTCTTAGGCAAGACACTTTACTCTCACAGTGCCTCTCTTCACCCAGGTGTTTAAATGGGTTCAGGCAATTCAATGCTAGCGGTAACCCTGCGATGGAATGGCATCCCAGTCTAAGAACACAACACAATGTCCCGGCCGGGGCTCGAACCCGGAGCACTCGATCCAGAGAGAAATACTCCTAGTCGCTTCATGCTACAGAAACCGGAGTTAAGCACTGGCCTAATGGGCCACTAGGCTCGTAAACAGACTTTACCATACAAAATAATTAAATGGAAATCTGGGTTTCGGAAGGCGGAAGGTAGTTCTTTTAGATCTCCAAAGGATATTTTGGGGAAATGATTCGGGGTGATTTCATCAAATTTTAAAATTGCATAAAACGCGCCGATTCGACGGTGTCGTCAATTGGTCGAAAATTGAGACATACTCATGCAAACTCAATTTTTTCGCATTTTACGTTCAATCTACCGCTTATCTAACATAATGTGCTCTTACCTTCCATGTTTCTGAGGATTGCAGTCCTGAAATTTTTGCATCTCCCTCACAATAGTGATATTACTTGGAAGGATAGTCAACGCCTCTTAATAATGATTATTCACAAAGCGTAGTCCAAGTTGTCTGTTGGGATGCTAAGGGAGATCTACACCGCACTTGAACTAGACGTTTCTTCACTAAACAGCAAGCGGAAGCAGCTCCATGTAGATATTTTGCAAGAATTGGTTGAAAATTGTGGTTGTAAAAGTATGGATGAAATATCTAATGCAAACCTTGAACTCCCTGCCTGCAAAAACACCCGCGCCCTGTCGGCAAATCTAACGGATTACTAAAGTACCTTGCGGATCCGCTATAGCTAAACAGGGAAGTGTTTTTTAGGCCGTCTATAAGAAGAATTCATTTACTTCTTAGATTTATTTAACTTGGAAGGAAAACATGGCTTTGTTTACTCTTTTTTTTGCTAGCAAAATATAGATGTTAGCTTTTACCCAGTGGGCGTGAAAATTCTGTTCTGATCAGATAACAGGCCTATAATGTGTCTTTACACGTCATCTACACTTTATAATATATCGCCATGTAATTCATTGATGGCTTTGAACCCGACCGTATTAGAAGGGGATAAATGACTTCTTACTTGGCTGGCTTCGTCTTCGACAAGACTGAACACCAAATAACTCACTAGTTGGGTTGATTCTTTCAAAGCCATTATTTCAAATATACAATATCAGTACAATAAACGCTTGGCGAACATGTATTTTACTTTAAGTCCTTAGGCATACCGACCCGCACTCGAGTCTGCTGTATCAGCTGGTGCAGTGATTACTCTAGGCTTTTCTTGAGTTTCGAGATACGCACAATGAATGGTTTTAGTACCAGACGTGAGCTTTTGGACCGCTGCCAGTAATAGATGAAAGTGAATATAGGAACGCACTCCGTGAGTCGCAGTCTCACTAGCGGCACGAGTAACCGTTAACTAGGCATGGTAGGCTCTGGGAAATAAGTAGTGTAAATATAAATCTGTTGAACGTTGGCTAATACAAAATTTTCAGTAAAGGTTGTGGTTTTCCAGTTTTAACTCTAATACAGCTTCTTTGAGATAAACAAATATTCCAACACTGTATTTTTCTATAACGGCACATCTGAAGTGATGGGCTATGCCATTTGCAGATAGTCGCTCTTTTTGACCTAATATGAGCTTTATCCACCTAAAACAGTGATTTAAAACATACCATAATACATTTAATTATGATACATTTTTAAAATCACGAACGAGGTTAGATGATTGTTTACTTCTGTTTCGTATTAAAATAAGATCTAAGTTCCTGAAGCCACGTGTTTCACAGTACAATGTTCTGTTTTTGCGAAGTTGTCGATTTCAGTAGATCTCATTTTGAATTAAGTAGCTTTATTCCGCCCGCGAGAAACAAGTTTCTTAACCAGCAAAATTCCGCTTCCATTTAGTTCGTGGTTCGGTTAAAGACTAATTAACATTTAAGCAAAGATCTCTTACGTGAAGTAATTACAGCCTCTTTTTCGACGAAATGGAAATAGAGAAACCTCAAATCAAAAACCCCGAGATACGCTTTGTGAACCGTCATTATTAGGAGGCGTTGACTATCCTTCCAGGTATTATCGCTATTGTGAGGGAGATGCAACAATTTCAGGACTGCAATCCTCAGAAACATGGAAGGTAAGAGCATATTATGTTAAATAAGCAGTAGATTGAACGTAAATTGCGAAAAAAATTGACTTTGCGTGTGTTGGGGACAATTTGCAGAGAGATTTTCTGACGCTTAGGTATAGAATAATATAAACGCTCTAATAAAGATCATCTCATGGTCGTTGACAACCTCGGGCCCGACACCTCCAAGTACAAACATTTCCACCATCCATCGCTCGACAAAACCCACTTGCAATCAAATATTTAGAAAGAAAATTTTTTACTCATGTTGGGGACAATTTTCAGAGAGATTGGCAAGAGTACCATATAACTCCATACATTAATTATGTATTCAGACCAGTAGACTTTGTTTTTAAAGTTTTGTCGTGAAAGACAAAGAAGTGGAATGCATAGTTATGTATGGGGTTATATGGTACTCTTTCCGAGAGATTTTCGGACGTGTAGTTGTAGAATAATATAAACGCTTTAATAAAGATCATCTCATGGTCGTTGACAACCTCGGGCCCGACAACCTCCAAGTKCAAACATTTCCACCATTTGTGACATTTTGTGTTGTCTCGAATTATCTACGCCTACGGTAAAAACTGAACGAAAGAAAACTTGAATTAACAACTCATCGGGGTAGAAGGAAATTATAAACCTGACTCTTACATTTTCTGTGCAATTAACGGTAGGGAAGAAACAAAAACTGCAACAAGCATAGCATTTACGGTCCCCGACGCGAAACTACTCATAAACCACAACCATGTGCTACTGAGCCACGCGACGTAATCGATACTAGTTCGCAATTCGTTTATTCGGCCGCTAGTCGGCCCAAACAGCGTGAGTATGTGTACATTTTCGATTAATTGACGACACCGTCGAATCCACGCATTTTATGCAACTTTAAAATTTGATTAAATCGCCCCGAATCATTTCTCCAAAAAATCCTTTGGAGATCCAAAAGAACTACCTTCCGCCTTCCGAAACCCAGATTTCCAGTTAATTATTTTTTAGAGCACATAGTTAAATCACGGGCCACTTTTCACCTATTTTTAATCTAGTTGGAAGTAGGTCGGATAAATTCAGTTACATTGTGTAAATAAATGGTCAAGAATTGCTCAAATTACGATCAACATATGTTTTGATGTTGTTTTTCAAGATTTGGTACTTTTAATCAGTCAGGTTTTTTCATTTTGTGAAGCGACGCTCCGAGATGCGTCTGAGATTTTGAGCCTCAAAAGCCACATTTTGGCGGCGGAATTCAGTTGTTATCGATTTTCTGGAAAAAAATCGATATTCAGCCAAACGAAGTATTGAGTGGTTTGGTCACTCTTAGGCCAACCCAACTTGAGAATATGAGCCGAATTGATTCTTTGGCTGTTGCCGCCATATTTTGAAAATGTTATCAAACAACATGATCTAGAAGAAGCTGATGCATTAAGTTACATGTTAGGGTCCTTGGAGATAAAGATCAAGTAGAGCCCAAAATCTGATCGAATAGCTCCAAGGTATGGGGTTTGTTTGTAATACACTGACTGGGAATGAGTGGTAGTTGTATTTTTAGAGTAATCAATGACAACTACGGTGTCGGCGGGTTTAAAGTAACATCATGTCATATTTCCCACAACTTTTCAACATCTGTTTTAATCTGGGAATGAATCCTCAATGATACATGCGGTGTGAGGTTCTTAGCAATTTTTTACCTATGGTCGAGGTTGTCATATATAAGGAAAAATGATATTTGTTGTGAGAAATACGGTTCAATGTTCGCAGCCGAGAAAATGACTTGGCATTTTCACTTTTTTTTTTTTTGAGAAATTTGTCCAAAAACAAGTTGAAGACTTTGTCACCAGAGATTTTCAGTAACAACCACTGGCTACGATACCTGTAAGGAGGAACTTTTGTGTAGCTGAAAAAACCTTTTCCTTTTCACTCTTTCACAGTAGTCTTCTGCGATACACTTGCAATTCCAATGACGCGTGCAATCTTGTAAATCTCATATATACCTAAATCAAAAGAAGCTCTCCAAAGACCCTTTTGCCACGAAAAAGGATACCCAAGAAACCGCTATGTAATATATACTTACGTATTAATTTGAGGAATATGAATACGCCGCTCTCCTTATAAGCAGAACAGAGACTTGTCAAGAAAACAAAAGTACAACATTATCTTCAGGTGTTTTTTGTCAATTGTCACTTGTCAATTGATTACAATCAATTGACGCTTACGCTTGCAATCATATGTTTGCAAACTCATGTGCACAGAGGATTTAAAGAAATTCTCAAGAACCCTCCTTGCCACGTAAAAGGATAACCAAGAGATCACTCCTTAATACTTACCACACGGCCTATCCATTTCATAAACAGTAACTTGCTTTCCTGGAAAGCATATTGCTATAATCTTTATCATCACTGAGAGCTAGGACCTGACACTTTTATTATGTCTAATTTTGGTGACAGGGACTTGTCTAAAAATCAGTTAAAGACATTACCGCCGGGAGTTTTCAATAACATGACTTGGCTTCATGGGCTGTAAGTAGGCTTCTTGAAACAAATCCAATTCCGCCGCTACTTATAAGGATGTCCAAAAGAGCAATTTGAAATGCCCGAGGCCCTATTTAATTAACGAGAAGTGAATCCCTTTCGTTGAGCACTCTGCTAATACCTTAATCATAGATAACTAAGACCTGAAATTTCTATGAAGTCCTTTCTCGGTTACAGGGACTTGTTAAGAAATGAGATAGAAACATTACCACCAGGAGTATTTAAATACTTGAACTACTTGATTTGGCTCTCTAGGCTGTAAGAATTCTTTTTGGCATCGCGGTAAGGATCCCGGAGTAATTTAAAAATTACATGTCTTACGCTCGACTTATGACCGGCAGTCGGAAATGTTCGTAATATTTGACGAGCAGGTGGTAGACAAGGCTCTGTTTTAGAGCCTGTTTGGAAAGTTGCTAGAAAATCCTTTCCAGTGATATGAGCTTCAACCTACAGTCTGCTCTGGTTTCTATAAACGAATTGTCGGAAACCACAATCAACATTCCTTAAGTAATCAGCCATGATTAATCTGGAGCGTTGACAAGCTTTGACACTCAAAACCACTTGAAGACAGATTTCCAGGCGATAGCCAATCATATTTATTGGTTGTTGTGAGCGCGACGCAAAAGGCAATCTCTTTTCCTTAGGCTGTAGTTTCTTCTCTCCGAGTGCCAAACTTCGCCGAAAAGGGAGGACTGCTCGCAGTCTACAGTTTACAATACTTTCATAATCAGCATACCTTAACTTCTAATTGATTATCAGTGAGTTAATATGATTCACAAAACTCCCTTATCTTTTCTTTTGTAGTGACTTGTCCTATAACCAACTAGAGGAATTACCTCCAGAAGCTTTTAGTCACAATCCCCATCTTATAGAGCTGTAAGTAAAACTTCCTAGCTGTGTAAGTGACATTTGATAGCAGCTGTGCCTAGGTTCAAGAGTTTGATAACTTTCCAGTCGTCGATTTAGTAAATAAACCCCTTCGGGTGGCTGGTATGCCGGCTGAGAGATTGTCCGAAAAATGAGTATTTGGCCAAGAAGCGAAGCTTCGAGGGCAAATATGAAATTTTGAGGACAATCTCTCAGGCAAAGACATTATCAGCCGACATACCAGCAAGCCAGAACGGGGTTTATTTATTTTATAACCCTCCCATTAATTTTCACATCGGAATGAAATTGCGCGTAAACACAGTAAAAAAGCCAGTGGTGATCTGATGGCGAATGCGGGTGATTGACGCAAGCAAGCAAAAAAACACCAGTTTGGTTTCCTGCCATGTAAGGAGAGAATGGAAAATTTGGAACTCTTGTGTTGACTATGTTTCTTTTTCACCGAAAAATCGGAGGAAAAATATCGACGAGGACGGGGCTTATTGTGTGATAACTGTCCTGTAATTTTGCACCACGTGACGTAAAGTAACCAATAAAATCGCGCCAAAATTAATGTGTGGGTTATAATTGGGTTTCATAGGTAACAATAGAATAATTGGTTAAGAGAGGCTTAAAGTTATCACTCAATTCACAAATTGTCCTTTAAACGTAGGTGGTAAAGAATTGTTCTTTCCCATTTTTTTATTGTGCTCTGAAAATCTTGATGATTTTATATCAATGATCCATTTGGTCTACGTATTTGTTCGCTTCTCGACATTCTTGTGTTATTATTATTCCGCGACCGATGGCTGTGTGACCTGGGTCAAAGTTATCTAGGGCATCTTTTCCCAAACGCGATTTTGTAACCAACTGCTAAGCATGCTAGGTAAAGTTTCAGAAAAGGAAGATATCTCGCGTTATTCGACCCAGGGACGGCATCGTTTGCTCCAGATTGTCAAAGATGGAAACTATTACACCCGAGGTGGTACTCCATCAGCACAACACACACTTTTAAAGTTCAAAAGTAATATAGACTACCACAAAATAACTTTAGATAGTACTCTCTCCTTTGTTCATTGTCAATCATTCCATTCTCTTTAAATTGTTTTTTTATCCTTGTAATCTACTATCTAAAGCCAGGGCCGATTATGGTCTGGGTATCAGTTCATAGCCACAAAAACGGACTTGCTACCATCTGAGTGTTAATTCATCTCATGTTACGGTCAGCAAAATGTCTGCCGTTATGATGATTGCCTTCATCTTCCAATTTCATAACTACAGTAGTCAAAAGGTATAACATTCGACCAACTCTTTCATAAATGGTTTTCTTGATGATACTTCAGATTCTTGAACAACAACAAGTTAAAGAATTTGTCTTCTGATCAACTTCCTTGTCGGATTTACTTGTTTAACAACCATACAAAACGGTAAGTGTGGTGGGTTTAGAATTCAATGACACTTTCTATTTGATACATAACACAACTGGAAATAAATAGCATCTACAATGACAATGAAGAAAAACTACAATTACAAGGACCTCCGATAGTTTTATGTATATTGGTATTAAACTACACGATAACTACATATCAGCTCCAACCCATGGAACAGTTTACTGTTAACATTAAAATGGTGCATCTTACAAAGTGCGCCTAACGTCCTTATTAAATAGCAGTAGTGGTGAAGTATGACATGCAAAATCAATGGATTGAGTTCACCTTGCAGTGAATATTCAACATGTCACGCTTCATGCATACGAATTACTGTCTTTTTTTGTTTGAGTTGTTAGTTGATGTATGGTGCCTTCGTCTAAGTGAGCGGACGTCCTGGTAGGAACGTTACTGTAGACTGGTGCATGAATATTTGACAAATTTGTCCTTTAAATTAAATGCATCAAATATAGCCCTTTGAAACTGATGGTTAATTTTCCTCGTAAAAGAGCTCGTTTACTGAATCGATCGGTAACAGTTCCTCCATCACTTAGTCATGAAATTAAGTCATTCTGTTGGATGTCACAACGCTGTACATTTTCCTTTAAGGATGAATGTTTACTCAACTCTTCGCAATTTCAGAAACTGTCACCGACATATATCATGACTAGCTCTTTGGCCTTTTCGTTATGGAGGTCACAGCAAACATCGCGCTCAAAATTTGCTTTGCTTGCGAACATATTGTAGATATCGAAGTTGTACATATACCCGGCACTTAACACCTTCTACATGTACATATATGTTTTTCACCTTGGTTACAAGGAAGTCATCTGAAAATGAGAAAAGGGCATTGCCACCAAGAGAATAACCAAGTAATCAAACTAAGTATAAGCATAATTTCCGCAGAGCGAGTAATATTAGTAGCGCATCCAAGGAAAAAGGAGAAAGAGGCGAAAGAAAAGTAGTTGATTGGTAAAGTTGCTAGTAGGACCAGTAACAACAACACCAAGAAAAAACTATATCAATAATATAGCAAAAATTAGTTTTTCCGGTAAAGGTAAGCAACTCTGTTGTAGGTTTTGTTAGAAGTGTAAGTAAATGTAACTACTTGTCTGCAAAGGAAACTTATTCCTACAGAGAATAAATGAATTTATGCGGCTCGCTACATGAGGTAATGTTTGACTAGTACGTAAACTGAGCTTAATTTACATACGGGACTCTTAGTTCTGAGTATTTAATCAATGCAGGCCAGAGTTCTGGCCTCTTTTTCTCAAGCTTCAGTGGGAAAACGTTTTCCCCATCCTTGGCCCTCCCTCAGGAGTTAATTAAATGGGGTATCAACTGCTTCAGACGGCGGTTTTGCCCTCACCTTTGCTGGAAATAAATTACCATTTAAGATTATGATTCAGTTGACATGTTAGAAAATAAACGGCGACGATGGTGGCCAATATATGGCAGAAATCTTGCCGCCCCCCCCCRCCCCTTTTAAGTCAGTTTAAGGTAACGAGCGAGAAGCATAAAAGTATGAAATATAGCTATGACCACAGTTAAAAAAATATATTTGTAATAACAAAGATAATCAAATTTGAGGAAATTGATTTTTAGACAAGTACTCAAACCCCATACTAAGTTATGATGACTGATCGACCATAGGGACCTGTCAAACAACCGGTTAAAGTATCTGCAGCTACAAGTGTTTGCTGGCATTACACTTTTAATCTGGTCGGATTTCACGCTGTAAGTCGAACTCTTCCATTGCACATAAGTAAAGGCCCATTTATTTTACAATCCATTCTCCTTCAGGTCAGGGCACTACTCAACCAAACCGAGGAGATGCCTGCGAGGGGTCTGGAATTAATATAATTATAGGTGCTAGGCCCCTGGGTGTTATTTTGAGGCCTCCTACTTTCTTTAGGGCGAAGAGGTGTTTATTCTACAGAGCTAAAAATAAGGGCCCGCTTCCGATTCGATATTTAAGGAAAGAGTTCCGATAATATTAGTTTTCTAACCATTATTTTTTATCTCAGCAAAAGGTTTAAACTGTTGACAATGATGATTTGTTGCACAATTAGCACCTCACATTTGCATATGTAATTATCACTTCACCATCCACTCACACGCCTATCTAAATCTGTTGACAGGCCTCATTAAATATTCGCTCTAAACAGATTCACTTACTTTTATTGTTGCAACAATTACTTCTTCGACCGTTTTGCAAGCTTTACCTTTACTTATATGACCAGATGTTACGAAAAGCAAAAACGTATGTCACACAATCTTACTTGGTCTTGGACTATCAAGATTTAGCAAGGCGGGAAGGTCAGGTTAATTTGAAGAAAGAGAGGTGAACCTACAGAGATATTAAAAAAAATGAGAAACACATTTTTAAAAATCCCAGTAGGCCATGCACTAAAATCTAAAAATTGTTTTTTTAACCATATTTCCATGTTTCATTATCTTAATTATTAAGTGAAACCTTGCCCTTAGTTTTGATGTCATGTTTGTTCCACCGCACCGTGCAGGGATTTGTTCAACAACCAGTTAAATAAATTACTTCCAGGAGTGTTTTCTCGCATTCAGACTTCCCGGCGTTCGACCTGTATGACCAAATGTTACGAAAATAAAAAAAGATTGGTCAAACATTCTCACGTGGTCTTTAAATTTCGAGGTTTAGCAAGCTGGGAAAGTCAGGTTAACTTTATTGAAGAGAAAATAATTTACAGAGATATTAACAAAAACGAGAAACAGTATTAAATCACAGTGAGTTATGCCTTAAATTTAAAAAATGTCTCTCTATCCAGTTTCCATATGTCATTATATTGATTATAAAGTAAGACCTTACGCTTGATTTTAATGTCATCTCTTTTTCACCGTGCAGGGATTTGTCCAACAATCAGTTAAATAAATTACCCCCAGGAGTGGTTTCTGGCATTCAGACTTGCCCGCGTTCGTTTATAGCGTTGTGAGTAAGATTCTTTTTGTACAAACTAATCTTTATGGCTGCTTCAATAATGAACAATTGAAGAGTTATTTTAATTCTAATGTATCTACTCTAGCCTTTCGTAGATTAGTTTTTTGTGGTATTAATATCTAGCTCGTTATCTTGATTAATAGCAACACGTCGTAGTCTTATATTGCCAAGAAAACTGACCGGAATGTGTCCAAGGAGTCTTCTTGTCGTGCATAAGGATACCTATAAGATTTTCTTTTCATGCTAGCCACCAAATCTAATGAACTCACTTTCACTGTGGGCATATTGCTATAAAAGTGCCATAGCTGAAAACTTGTTATCCAATGTTGGTTACAGGGATTTGTCAAAAAACCAGATAAAGTCGATATCGCAAGGAGTTTTTAGTCACTTGACGCGGATTGTTTGGCTGTGAGTGATCTTCTTGATATACATGCAATTCCATTGACGAGTGCAATCCAATGATCGTAAATCTTACGGTTACAGGGATTTGTCGAAAAATCAGATAAAGTCATTACCAGAAGGAGTTTTTAATCACTTGAAGCGGATTAAATGGCTGTGAGTGATCTTCTTGATACACATGCAATTCCATTGACGTGTGCAACCTAATGATCGCAAATCTCATGTATGCGCAAAATTCATTCTGAAAAGACATTTTTCAGACTCTTCTTGCCACATATATCACCCCAGAGAATATTATGTAATACTTATCACCCTTCCATTTAAGTAGTAAAGTCACCTTCCCTGTGCCAAACCATGACCATAGCTAAGAGCTACACTCTGTTTCCAAGTTATTTTATGTTAGTTTTAAGGTCTTGCGAAAATATCAGATAAAAACATTGCCCTAAGGAGTTTATGATATCTAACTTTGCTTAAATGGCTGTAAGTAGTCTTCTGTGATACACTTGCAATTCCAATGACGCGTGCAATCTTGTATAATGCAATATGAATACGCCGCTCTCCTTATAAGCAGAACAGAGAATCGTCAAAAAACCAAAGTACAACATTATCGTCAGGAGTTTTTTGTTAATTGTCACTTGTCAATTGATTACAATCAATCGACGCTTACGCTTGCAATCATATGTTTGCAAACTCATGCGCACAGAAAATTTAAAGAAATTCTTAAGAACCCTCCTTGCCACGTAAAAGGATAACCAAGAGATCACTCCGTAATACTTACCACACGGCCTATCCATTTCATAAACAGTAACTTGCTTTCCTTGAAAGCATATTGCTATAGTCTTTATCATCACTGAGAGCTAGGACCTGACACCTTAATCATGTCCATTATCGTCAGGAGGTTTTTGTCAATTGTCACTTGTCAATTGATTAAAATCAACTGACGCTGACGCTTGCAATCACATTGCATTATGTTTGCAAACTCATGCAGACAGAAGATTTTGAGAAATTTTCACTGAGAACTCTCCTTGCCACGTAAAAGGATAACCAAGAGATAACTATGTAATACTTACCACCCTATGCTTTTGATGAAAAGCAACTAGTTTTCCTTGAAAGCATATTGCTATAGCCCTTATCATTATTTAATGCTTAGGACTTGACACTTGTATTATGTTTAATGTTGGTGACAGGGACTTGTCTAAAAATCAGTTAAAGACATTACCGCCAGGAGTTTTCAATAACATGACTTGGCTTCATGGGCTGTAAGTAGCCTTCTTGAAACAAATCTAATTCCCCTTTTACTTATAAGGATGCCCAAAAGAGCAATTTGAAATCCTTGTAACGCCCTACTTAATTAACGAGAAGTCCTACCTTAATCATAGATGACTAAGACCTGAAATTTCTATGAAGTCCTTTCTTGGTTACAGGGACTTGTCAAGAAATGAGATAGAAACATTACCACCAGGAGTATTTAAACACTTGGTTCGGCTTTTTAGGCTGTAAGTAGTGTTTTTGACATACAAGTGCACTGATATGTGAATTATCATATTTAAAAATATCGTGTATACTTTTGTTGAAGAAAACCGTTTCTTCTTACCGTCGATTTCATGTCAACAGCAAGATGGGAGCGTTTTAAGAGGGTGAAAACCAACGATATCGGCCATTTCTTCTCTCAGTCTTCCTTTTAACATGACAGGCGACGACAACATGTCACAGGAATCTAAAAGGAATATTTAGTCAATTATTTATATGTGGAAATGTCAAAACTCATCGAAGAATGGCATGTCAGAGAAAAAAAATCAACACGAGTACGATGATTCGTTGACTCAGAGTGACTTTTATGATATCTTTACTGCGGAAAAAGAGCCTGCAGTAAAGGAAAAGGCAGACTGCTGTGGTAAAATCTGTTGTGATCTTTCTTAAAAAATAGCGACCTGTGTAATAACCAGTTAAAGGACTTGCAATCCAAACTATTTGATCAGCTTCAAGAATTATGAGTCACTGTCAGTAAAAATCAGATATGATCATCAAAATCGAGGACACAGCCAAAAAATTGATTTCGCTCATACTTTCTATATTGATAGACCCTTGTACCAAAGTAACCAAAACAGGGTTAGTTTTTTCTAATCTTATTTCTTTTGAGAGTAATTAAATAAAAACTGTCAAGTGCGTATCGAGCCAAATTTCGATTCGAAATATCGAATTCTGTCATATTCGTGGCTTGCCAGAGTAAGTCGAAAATTTTCTGTGAATATTCCTTTGCACCAATATTATAGTTAGGGCCTTGAACGATTCATTGATGACATGAAAAGCAGATATGTTCTCGTTATAAATATTTTATGATTTTTTTTCTCGATGACACCCTGCGGCTGTTTCTCAATATCTCTATGGTACCCTAAAACAACTGCCAAAAACGCTTGTTGGTACGCGAAGAAGAACCCAATAACTATATCGCAGTTGCAGTTTAAGGATAGATGTTCTCAGATATACTTTCAATTTTTTGGGATAATTTTTTGTTTTGCAGTAACCCTTGTTTTAAGTTTGCTTATTTTCGAGATTTGCTGCAGCCGCTATATTGAAGTTTCAACTAACTTGACCATCAAGAAACAATTGATCGCATGTCGAAAAGTACATTTGAAGTTAAAACATGATAAGCTAACTTAAGATAAGACTTGGTTCTGTTTCTTATCTAGAAAATTGATTAAATTGGTGGTAGACTCTGGCAGATTTATGCTTGTTGTCAGTTTGTTTACACAAGATATTTGGTGACTACTATACCAAAAGATTGCGTTTTGTCGATACCTTCGGTTTCGGTTGCAAATCTACTTTCTGGGCATTTCAGTTATTAGTTTTACTTTTCAGAATGTACAATCTAGGAAAAATCCGGCTTTTCCACGACAAACACTGCTCAAATAATAAATAATTTAAACTATGTAGCGTGTGAAACAACCTGTGTCTATAATGTATCCGTCGGCAGACTGTCGGCACGCATGTTTGATGACAGAGCTACCGATGTTTGAACATTATAATAGTTATAGTAGTTGGGGATTTCTTCAGTATTACATATTTTATATATAAATCGGGTTAGAAGGGACGGTTAATTAATGATGAATTATGCATCATTGTAGTTATAGTAGTTGAAGATTTCTTACTGCGCATTTTCGGGTTGGAAGGGATGGGTCATAAATCATAAATTGTAAAGATTACGATTTTCATTCTTTTTATTACATTTTTTTTAGTATTAAGCACGTGCACGTNATGGGTAGCTGGTATGTGGCGGTGAAAAAGAAAGTAGCGTTTAGCGAACATGTAGCGTTGCAACAATAAACCTCTCAAAGGACTACGTCCCTTACACAAATGAAATCCGATCGCTAAACCTGTCACGCAAGTATGTACAGTTGCGCAAGAAGTAGATAATCAACGAGGACAAGGCAGGAATCACGGCTAAATATAAACAGACGAACTATTATGGTATGAAAGTAACATTCCGGCCCCTTTAAAGGCGGCAAAAAACAACGTGGCCGAAGCCTTTAACCAAAACGAAACTGAGCAAGCATACGAACAAGGGTCTGAACGCACTAAGTAACTAGAATTATAATAGTTGAACATGAGTTCTCGTAAGTCTTCCTTCATCCAGCTTCAAGTAGCACTAGCTTGTCCACAGGACGCACCAGCACCGATGACTTGGTTTTCAGTCTAACGCTTCTGACGAGGCCATCACTGTGGTTAGGAAATACTTCAATCACTCTTCCAAGAGGCCAAGAACAGCGCGGCAGGTTCTCGTCCAGAACTAACACCACGTCACCAACCGCGAAATTTCGCGAAGCTCTCTCCCATTTCTGTCTCTCTTGCAGCGAAGGTAAATACTCTCGTGTCCAGCATTTCCAGAATACGTCGGCTAGGTACTGGACTTGCCGCCACCTGCGTCGAGAGTAGTTATCGGTCTCCTGAAAATGGCCTGGAGGCTGAGCTGGCCCCGCACGCAACAGCAGTAGATGGTTTGATGTGAGCGCCTCTGGGTCGCGAGGATCGTCTGATACCTTTGTAATTGGGCATCCATTTACAATGGCTTCAACTTCACATAACAGAGTTAGCAAGCCTTCGTCGTCCAGAGGTTGTTCTTTGGCAAGCGCACCCATCACTTTCCTAACTGTGCGGATGCAGCGTTCCCAGACGCCCCCATGATGAGATCCTGCAGGTGGGTTGAAACTCCATTTGATGTTCCTTGCTAAGAGAAAGTTGTGGATTTTACCTTGGTTCCACTCACGCACGGCTTCTCGCAGCTCCCTTTCGCCTCTGACAAAGTTGCCACCATTGTCGGACCTCATATGTAGCGATTGTCCTCTCCTTGCTACAAAACGCCTGGGGGCGTTTATAAAGGAATCAGTGTCAAGGCTGTGAGCTACCTCAATGTGAATAGCACGGATAGAGAGGCAAGTGAATAGCACCCCATATCTCTTGACGATGGATCTCCCTCTACGCACGTTAAGTGGGCCAAAGCAATCCACCCCAACACGGCTGAATGGAGGCTCTGATGGGTTTACGCACTCTTCCGGCAGACTAGCCATCTTCTGTTTACCCGTGGAGGCGTGTCTTCTTCTACAGTCAAAGCAGGAAGCCAATATGCGACGGAGGGTTGCTCGTGCCTTGATGATCCAATACCTTTCGTGAACAAGGGATAAGATATGCTCTATCCCGGAATGGCCACTGATTAGATGGTAATGCCGTGCGATGAGGTGCGAAATGTGATGATCCTTTGGGAAGATGAGAGGATGCTTAGTTTGCACTTGTATCGGTGACCTTTGTAGCCGACCGCCGACGCAGATAATTCCATCCACTAGCATGGGGTCCAGCTTTAAGATGCTGCTTGATTTCTTCAGTTCCTTTTGGGGGGATCCCAATGACAGCAGTTCTTCTTCAAAGGCTTCACCTTGGACCAGTGCAATGATCACGTTCTCAGCTTGGCGCAACTCTTCTACATTTATGGGATGGATCTTTTCGGATACCGAGGGGTTGTTCTCTGTCCTCAGGACAGCTAGATCNTCAGTAACCTCTCTCTGATCATTGTGAGCGACTAAGGTCTTTGGCCAGGCTTCTTCGTCCATCCACAAGAAGTCTGGTCCCATCGTCCATCGGTTGTCTTCAATGATGGCCTTGGCTGATAGGCCTCTTGAGGCGTCGTCTGCTGGATTAGATTTCGTGTTCACGTATTTCGACTGGGCCGGGAACGATTGTTCTCGAATCGCTGCCACTCGATTTGCCACAAAGGTCTTGTATCTTCGGTCGTCATTGGCTAAATATCGCAGAACGCAGGTACTATCAGTCCAGAAGAAAGAGTCGTGGATGGTGACATCGAGCTCTTGTCGCATCATCTTGTCGACTCTTGTCGAAAGCAGAGCAGCGGATAGCTCCATCCTTGGAATTGTGAGCGGCTTCAAAGGCGCTAGGCGAGATTTTCCCATAAGAAAGGAGCATCAGATCTGGCCTTGAGAGTCTACGAGTCTCAAGTAGGAAACAGAGCCATATGCGACCTGTGAGACGTCAGAGAAATGATGTAACTGGCAGGAGACAATGTCGACGAAGTCTGATGGCTTGAAGCACCTTTCGACTGAGAATTGCTCTAGTTTCGGTAGCTCCTCGAGCCAGCTCGTCCATCGCTGCAAGTCCTTTTCAGGAATCCGGTCGTCCCAATCAAGGTTTTTCCGGCAAAGGTCTTGCAGTAAGATCTTGACCTGAAGGACAAAGGGTGCCACGAATCCAAGCGGGTCGTAGACAGAGCTAACTACGGAGAGAATCCCTCTTCTGGTAGGGGGTCTGTCTTTAACGAGAATGCTGAAACGAAAGGTATCTGATGCCACATGCCATTTGACGCCCAGCGCTCGTTCAATGAGGGACTGATCGAAGTCCAGATCTTTAACTGACTTTGCTTGCTCTGACTCCGGCATTGATCCGATCACCTTGTGGGAGTTAGAAAGCCATTTTGTTAGGCGAAAGCCACCTCTTTTCAGGAGACTTGTCAGGTATTTCGCAAGGGAAATAGCGCCTTCTTCGGATCCGACTGATTTCAGACAGTCATCCACGTAAAAATTAAGCTTCACAGTGTCGATCGTCTCTGGTGAAAATTCCTTTTGATTATCGTCCGCCGTTTTCTGGAGTGCGAAATTTGCGCAGCTTGGTGAGGACACTCCTCCAAACAGGTGTACTTTCATCTTGTATTCTTGAGGCTGCAACGTAAGATCCCCATTCGGCCACCAGAGGAACCGCAATGCGTCGCTGTCATCTGGCCTTACTCGTACTTGGTGGAACATCGCTTCGATGTCCGACATGATGGCGATGGGTTCTTGTCGAAAGTGGGTTAGGACTCCGACGAGGGTGTTTGTGAGGTTCGGCCCCTGTAGCAGCTGATCATTGAGAGACCGTCCCTGGTACTTTGCAGAGCAGTTGAAGACCACGCGGACTTTTCCGGGCTTTGCAGGGTTGACGACTCCATGATGAGGAAGGTATCATGTCTTTCTTGAGGTGGGCGTTGCCGGTGTGGATATAGCATACCCCTCTTCTAGCAGATCTTCAATGCATTCCTTGTACTTGACCAATAGATCTGGGTTTAACAGAAGGCGTTTCTGTAAGGATCTTAGTCGATGCTCGGCGACTGTCTTGTTGTTTTCTAGGTATGGGGTTTCTTCCTTCCATGGCAAAGCGATCTCGTAGTGCCCTTCCCTCAGGACTGCTGTCTTTGACAAGATCTCTAAAGCTCGCTTGTCGTTTGACGACATAGAAGAGTTGTTGCTGTATACGGAATCGTTGAATTCCATGTTGCAATAGCTTCGGAACTGTTCAGTGAGCTCAGCATCGGCTCTGATGAAATTCGCGGTAGCAGGAGTGGAAGCTTGCGCTCTTCCAAGTGGCCCGTTAACCACCCAACCAAGGATGGTCCTCGATGCGTACGGCCCGCCATTGCTGGGTCGTACTTCTTTTGGCTCAAGCACTTCGGGATTGTCGCTTCCAATTAGCAGCCCGACGTTGGAGTCGATCTTAGGGATCCTTACTCCACTGAGGTGAGGCCATCGATCGATGTCCTCTTGCTGGGCTCCGTTCTTTACTGATGCTCGCAGCTTTGTTCTTGTAAACACACACGGCAGTTCGACTAAATTTTCCTCCTCGAGATCTGTGACTTGTAGGCTAACGATTTGTGCGACACTTCTACTTTCTTCTCTATCCATAGTAGTTAGGTGTAACGACGTTGGGCGTCCCGAAAGACCAAGTTGGTTCGCTAGATCCTCTGAGCAAAATGAAACGTTGGACCAATTGTCTAGGAAAGCGTACGTTTCTACTATAAGGTCACTGTCTGGTGCTTTTACTTTGACTGGAACTATTGCCAAACTTGTGGCGGATGAGCGATCGTCGTTTCTTCCTTTAACGTAGCCATTAAAGGCAGGTTGTCCATTTTCTTCATTGCGTGTTTGGGCTCGAGGTTCGGAGAAAGACGAGTTGCTGATGCCACCAACGGGAACTGAAAGTTGGCCTTTAGGATGAAGGTAGCCAGAATGCTTCCCGTTACACCCAGTAACACGGCAAAACCCTCTCTTGGGGCAAGAGTTGGCTGAATGGCCAGTGACTAGGCAGTTAGCGCACAAGCCTCTCGAGGTGACTAATTGCCACCTAGCAGCTAGAGACTTCCCCTTGAAGTTACTACACTGTGATAGCCAGTGGTCAGACTTGCACAAAGGACACTTGCGGTTTACTTGGCTATTTCGTTCCTCGTAGACGTTTCCGTTATGGCTTGTGCTCATGTGTGTGGCGAAAGAGGATCTGATGAGTGGTTGTGGTCTGCGTCTTACTCCAGGACCTCCGTGAGGCTGTGCTGCTTGACTGGATATGTCGCCGAATATGGCGTGACTGGTCGCTCTGGCTCTAACGCTGACGAAGTCGCTCAGATCTGCGATGGTGATCTCACGATCCTGGGCTTCTGTTATGTTATCGGCTATGTCGCGCCATTTCTGCCTCAGCCCAAACGGTAGCCTTTGGACGATGGTTTTGAATGTATCCGGATTCTCCAGCTTGTTCAGGTAACCGATTTCGGTTAGAGAGTTCTTGCAACTGGTCAGTGCAATGGCAAACCTTCGCAGTGCTTCACCGTCCTCGGCCTTAATCGCCGGTCCGCTAGTTAGCCTCTTCACGTATGCACTCGCTATCTTGTAGCTTGACCCGTACGTCTTATGCAAAAGCTTCCGTGCTGTTCGATAGCCAGAGTCTTCTCCCATTGACAGGCAGCTCTTAACCAGCTCTTGAACTTCGCCGGATGTGTACTGTACCAGATAGTAGAGTCGAGCACTCTCACTAGCAGTTTTCTTGTCGATCAAATTTTCGAACGCGCGGATAAATTTCCAGTATTCGACGGGGTTTCCACTGAAAACGGGAACGTTTGGCTGGGGTAGGGTTAACGCCAGGGTGCTCTCTTGTTGTCGCTGAATCAGTGCCTGAAGTTGTTTGTTCTGGAAGTACTGGGCGTCCAACAATCGCTGCATTACTACTTCGCTAAAGGCAGTGCTCTGGGCGGGCTCATTAGGTTCCGGTTTAACCATGGGTGGTGAGATCGGGGAATGTTTGACAGCAACTGGATTATAGTTGGGTGGAGCGACGGCATTCACCTCCAATCTCCAAATTTCGCTAGCGTCAGTCACTCCCTTTTGGTCTGCAATATATCCTTCTGCGGTCGCTCGAACTCCAAATTCCTTCCTTCGGCCATCGATGATTTGTGAAGCATCTGTAGCGGATTCAAGCGGGGCATTTGCACCAGGTTTCTGGTCGCCGTAGTGCGCCATCGATAGCTCTCCAGTATCACATTGGGCTTGAGCATAGGCGAGTTCTTCAGCTGTGGCTTTAGCTATCTCCGTTTGCAGCTCTAAGCTTTTCTTTTTCATTTCCAGCGCGAGCTCCTCCTTCTTTAAAGCCTGCCAATTTTCCAATTCCTTAGCTTCCACTTCCAACATCGCTTTCTTTGCAGCAGCCTTTGCTCGCGCTGATTGAACAGAACTCGCAGCTGATCCTTTAAAACGAACGGAGCTGGACCCAGAACGACTGGACTGCCTCGAATCGGCGTTACATATCGAATCTGCGGGCGTAACATCATCGTTTCCGAGTATTTTATCTTCAAGGGGGATCTTGGATCTCGTCCGATTAGAGGCAACGACCCAGCGTGAAATCTCGCACACAAGCCGCCCGTTAGCTTGTTCCACCGACTTAAAATATTCGATCGACTCGTCGATGTCGCATTCTTCTTTCAATTGATTATGGTACTCAGCGTGAGCTCTTACGAAGTCTTGAAATGCTCTGTGAAGGTGGTCAAGTTTCTCTTTGACTAATAGCGCATCTGACGAATCGATCATTAATTGTTTTATCTCTTCCTGTGCGCTGGTAACGATCCCCTTTTTACGGCCTCTTGCTTGCTTCAGGTTACGAAGACTTTCTGCATCGATGCCATCCCAATCGAGAGTGAGATTTCTTTGCCTTATCCTAGAGCTCGGCTCAATCAAATCGTAGCCACCCTCGGCCATAGTTTATTGTTCTGAACGCAGCACGCACGTCGCAACGTGACCAGTTTGTTACATCACAATGACGACAAGCGTAGATCGCGAATTCGCTATGAATCGACAAATTCGAAGCCTTAAATTCGAACGAAAATGTAACCCCGAAAGGTCACATGTGCAGCGAGGGTCGTAAGCGATGAATTTGGAGACCAGACAATTATAACGCACAACGTAAACTTTAATTGGAATAGCTTAAAAGGGCAGCGGCTTGTAGAGTGATAGATAGATGATTTGATATGTAGCTTTGCCTAGCGGTAAGATCTTGATGCAGTGAGGTTTGATGTGGTTCGAACTAGAAAGCAAAGAAAGGAACCTAAATAAGCTGACGCCTGTGGATGGACTACTTAATCTAGACGCACGTGGCATAGAATCGCGAAACTACACAGGCGCTAAAGATAATCATGCCAATTAAGATAATGAAGCTAGCTATAACAATCAAGTAAATAAAATGGCTTACTTTAGTCTGGCTCCTAGCGGTAATGGGTAGCTGGTATGTGGCGGTGAAAAAGAAAGTAGCGTTTAGCGAACATGTAGCGTTGCAACAATAAACCTCTCAAAGGACTACGTCCCTTACACAAATGAAATCCGATCGCTAAACCTGTCACGCAAGTATGTACAGTTGCGCAAGAAGTAGATAATCAACGAGGACAAGGCAGGAATCACGGCTAAATATAAACAGACGAACTATTATGGTATGAAAGTAACAATGATTTCCATAGAAAAATCTGACAGGGTCCTTTTATTAAAAGCTGGTAAAGGGGGGGATGGGGTGGGGGTGTACATCAGTATACATATTCTCCATACAGTTTTCTATGTATTTCTTAAGGTGCTGACAAGGAGAATTTGTTGAACAATCAAGAGCTTGTTTAGTTAGTGATCATTTCCTTTATTCTCCTAACCTTTTACA